AGAATGGACAAAGCTTTTTTCGAAAATCAAATTAAGAGTAAGTAACGTTCAAATGAGGTAGATATATTAAAAATAGTACGGTCGGTAATTGTTCCTTTCTGCTATTCCGACATAGAGCTGTTTTATGAAATTGAGTGCATGTGACTCTCTGTTGCGAACTGACGCGTCTAGATTGCCGAAATGTCCGCAACGTATATCCTTGATTCTAAATACTACATACTTTTGCAAAAACCTTACTTTTGCCCAAATAAGCAGCGCGACTGCAGCTGAAGACGCCACTTCGTTCTAAAGATGCTTCCATGACAATAGTCCTACATTTTAGAGATCTCAATACTTAAAAGGCAAGGTAAGCATCGTTCTAAGAGAAAGAAGTATTAATGCAAATCAATTTTCTTATTAGATTATATGCCCATATAGCGAGACGTACGCTGTTATTGATATAGAAGTTCATGGAGATAAATACGCGTAACGACCGGCAATGAGCTCGCTATCATTGGGACTTTTTCAAATGACATCGTCTGTGGGGTACCTTTAGATACTTCTCTTTCTGTGTAATTGGAAAATATGAGGGTTGCCAAAAAAGCATTTAAAATAAGGAAGTAAAGCATACTCGTTTCTTTTAGTTTGTCTTTATTTTTCTATGCACACTTCTTATAATTTTATAAATTTCCTCCAACGATGCAAAATAATTATCAACGAAAGAAACGACGAAGGGACAAATTTAAGTCGCTCCATCTGCAATTCGTAAATTTTCATTATGACAACCGCTGAAATGTGAACTGGCGCATTTTGCTAATGAAACCAATTTTTTTTTCTGCAAAAGTAAAAGTTTTTCCGCATTTTCTGTCTTCAGGTTGACAAATAATTAGTTCTCGTAAGCGTATTTTCTTTCTGACAGCTGTATACCCGATTTTTTGCGCTTTCACAAAAACATTCACATGAACCCGCTCATACAATTGTCAAATAGCAACCACACGTCTAAAATGGGTACATTTTGAAGAGAAATGGTTGCCCAAACATATGTCAAAACTTTAACAAGAGCTGCTATCCTCAATTCGGATACTTCAACAACAGTATGCTGTGTAAAGCTGCCTGCCATATTCAGTTTAGGTGGAATCGTTGGAATGCCTAGTAAAATTTGGCTGGTTGTATAATTTTGACGTGCACAAGCCGTTATATCAAACGGCACTGCAAAATTTACACTTGTATTAGCGGATGGACTCTGCAGATATGTAACGCTTAAAAGATAACAAGCCCATGAATCGTCATCAGTCATATTAAGTTTTTGCGGATATATATGTAACACTCAGAAGAACTTAAGACGAACTTACTATAACCGTGTTTTATTTTCTTGTTTCACTACTCCTTCAAACCTTGTGCCACGATTGGGTCCGCCGTGTAAAATTCTCTATTTTACAAGTCACAAGCGTATCGATGCTCTTACGGTTTTATTCTTATGGTTTCACTTTTTTATCATTAGTTTCTTTTCCTACTTAACAGTACTTAATACCATATAATTGAACCGCTTTTATAAATGCCAGCCCGCTGGTACACACTGCTTAATAGATTGATATTATTATGGCGGTATGGATTTTGCTGAGATTGAAAAAGCATGGGAAACACCTTCAATCCGTTCAATACCAAGGTACCCTAGGAAAAACATCCATCGCAACCCAAGATTTTTTTCGCGATTAATTATCATCAGTTGAAATAGATTTTATCTAGGTGTATTCAGAGCATTCGAAAAAAGTAAAATAAACATTCTTTCGAAATGACAGTCTGTCCCTACACATTTTACCATTTTAGAACTTAACAATTTTGTTCAGTAGACATTTGAAAATGTTTCAGTTAATGTTCCAACAGCGTATGTCATATATATGTGGCGGTTGGTAGCGAACAAGTTAAATTAAAATTAGGATCATCATACTTGAGACAGCCTGTTGCTGGCATTTGGCGTAAGATTCAGACCTAGCATTCATGAAATATTATTTACCACGGAGTAAAGTTATTACAAAAATTCAGTATAACAAATTAACTTATTTAAATCTATGATTTTATAATTCTGATTGTATTTCAAAGTTCACTTAATATACTGTTATTCTAACGGTACTACAATCCAGCACATAAGAATACCAACTACAATAAATTTAACAAGGAAGTATGAGATACAGTAAACGGGAATAAATAAGAAATTGGAGAAAAATTAGACTTCGTTGTACCTATTTAGCAACGTGTAAAGTTCATACGAAATCACAGCCCTGTCATTGGCTGTAACACTTACTTTGGGCAAATCCTTATTGAAGGTCTTAACTTTGTTAATTTTACCATTTTTCTTGAGCTTGCTGCATAAAGAGTTCAGCTTTCGGCAAAGTAGCGGTAAATAATCGTTAATATAGATTCGGGAACGTACCTCTCCACCAAGGATATCTATAAGTATTTGGTACCGTGATACCGCACGTGTGGCAAGATAGTTTTCCCATAGCAAATCATTTACAGCTACACTGTTGAATTTCACCGAGATCTCATTCTTCTTATATAAATAAGTGCAGTGGTTCATGTCTGTGTTCAAGATGTTTACATTAAGACAATCACCGATTCTAATAACGTGCGCCCGGAGCTTCACGAGTTGAGCCGACAAACCGGATATGATAATGTCAGTACGATGACAATGTCGAGAAAGTCGACTCTGCACTATCTCCAAAGTTTCGTTCTTCTTTTGTAATTTTTTCTACACAACTCTCGATGCCGCTTGTACGTCATTTGTGCATGAGTTAAACTTCTAATCGAATTCTTGAAAGCTTACATTGAATTTCCGCGTGGTTAAGTCGACCGCCTGTTGTAGATGCCGAGGTAAGAATGCCCCCCGCGAGGCGTTTGAACAATCCGAGCAGGTAAAGGAGAGCATCGACAGGGCACAATTTTAATTGTGGCTTTTTAAAGAACCTTTTTGCACACATAGCAATACATACTGGATTATAGCTGAGTTAGGGCTCCGCAAATCAAAAAAAGCCCAGGCTATATTAAACGCAATTGGAGTTTGATCCAAAAAGAAAAAAGCTGGATCTTTTACACCGCGATAAAGTAAATTTCCCAAGAATTAAATAGTTAAGATCACAGTGAACAAATAAGTAAAACATCTGGAGAAATACTCTTTCGTAAAAAATTTAATGCAACTAAACAAAAAATTTTCTATTCGCGCATGCTAGAGTTGCCAAGATTTCTTTTACATTCAGAGAGTTTACAAGACAATATGAAGAGTTATTTAAGAAAAATATACATTCTGCATTTAGTCTCCAAATTTTGACACAAAAATTCAGATATAAAAATGGAACTACGTATATATATATATATTTCTGCTCGATGCCAATAGGTCAAGTTTGAAAATGGACGCAATCTTTTCACAATACGAAAGAAACTTTAATTCGTAGCCTTATTTTGAGCAGCATCACTGAGACATCATTAAACATATATTTCTCACAAACAAATGCGGAACTGAAATGTTGAGACCGGCATATAAAAAAACAATTTTTTTTTTTATTATTAATTTGTCTATTTGATTAACTGAGTTAGAAAACGATTGCCACATGATTTGACGATAGATACATTATAATATTTAATAATTTCCATTTCAATTAGCTCGATTTTGTAACACCGCGTCTTCCTTTCTTTGCACTTCAGTTTGTGATAAGCTAAGAAAAAGTTTTATTGCTTTGATTCGGAATGCCAAATTAGCGAAAAAAAAAAAACAAAAATATTGACAAGCAATTACAATTGACAGTACACAGTACCAGAATACCGCTGGTAAAATCAATTTGCAGACACCGGCTCAAAATTCGAGCCTTCAACTAATCTAAAGCTGACTAAAATCTTAATACGAAAAAGGTTCTAATTGAAAGGCTGATACACCCATAATTAAAAAAAATTGCGTGTCAAAGTCGTACTGATGATGGCTGTCAAGACCCTTCATATACTTCGAGACGCACATAACTTCCTTATTTACTATCTATGAATGTTTTCAACCCCAACGAAAAGTGAATTTTATTCCTTCAATCAATATGCAGACGAATGTAATGCATTGCTCAATTTTTGTTTTTGGAAATGTGTCTGTTAATGAAACATGCCTACTTAATGTGAATTGGTGTTGTTATCACAGCTCAAATAATTTTCTACGCCTAGTTTTAAAAACACAAGAACATTTCTATGCTATGAATGCAGAACATTTACAGGAGCTACCATACATGTTTGGTTTGAGCAATGCTTTCGAACAAACATCACCGCGATAACGGTGATGCGAGTGCACTACGTAGAGATGAACTTTTTGTAAGCGTTCTGATGTGCAGAACGCCTTAAAGCAGAATGAACGATTAGTTGAATGCTGTCGAAGACGAAAGGCAGTATTATGTCTATCAAAATTGCCTGAAAAATCACTTTTCATTATTGTGCATGCGATTGTGTAAAATAAGTTGAAATTCGCCAGGCAGGTCGTTTGCCGTATTTAGATTGTTCCAGTTTTTGCGCCAGAGTGTATGGTTGGATAAGTAGCTACTGTATTTTTTTGACGAAATGATATACCACGTACTACGAAAATATAAGATCTGACTGACATCGGGAATGCAAAGAGAGTTTCTACTTCACAAATTTGTTCAATAATGTTATCTAGCAAGGGAGGTACGTACATATTATGCGGTATTCATTGCAGAAATCATAATAGTGTGGTCACAGATGAGTCATCCCTGATATTGCCTTTCAGCCCTCACTCAATTGATAATTTTTGTATGCTTTCTCTTTTTGAAGATTATTTGCAAAAGACACGTCGACATTTTATAAATATATCAATTGTCAGTTTCCTATGTACACTTGAAGTAATTTTAAGAAAGTAACGCCTATGTTTATGGTATATACAGTTACATATATATAATTTCCACGCAGGCATCACCGATATATGTATGTGTATGTGTATAACATAGAGGCAAGAACCGTTATTTAAATACACAAATAAGAAAACAGCTTCGCTTTCGGCGATTAACATAAGTGCCATAGTTAAAAGATAGTATGCATATACCGGACGATGTAAGTTGTTAAGAAATTTTTAATCCGTAAATGTTACATATTCTAGAAGGAGATATTTATTATTATTAGGTTATTTGTAAATACTGCCAAGAAGTGTTCTGTTGTGACAAATGTCGTTATAAACACGAATTAGGAGCTCATGCCATTAAGATTCGTCAGTCGGCTGCTGCTTGCGATGAAGATCAAAAGTTTCGAGTAGACGATCAATTGCATGACGTTAAAACTATTTTTATGTGTTGTCCGATATGTGAAAATCGTCCATTACCATTAAAAAGTGATTTTTGCGAAGAAATACTGAATCATTTGAGGAGCAAACACTTGCCATTAAAATGTCAGAAATGCTCTAAAGTTTACCAAAAGATTGATGATATGAAGGAGTTTAGTAAATGCGTTCGCGATAAATCAAATCTTCAGGAAGAATCCGCAAATGAGGTGAATCAATCGCGAAATGTAGCTGAAGCTTCTAACCTTGATCTTGATCACAAAAAAGTGGGTAAAACAATTTCCACGCAGACATCACCGATGTGGCAAGAACATTTTTGTGAAATCGACTCAGGACACAAATCTGTTACAGGTTTGCGTTATAAGACAAAATGTAAGGCCGCATGTGACGAACTTTTAACCGATAGTGTATCATCCATTAAAAATATTTCCTCAGCAACTAACAGTTCAATGAAAAAAAGTTCCACTGATAAGGCGGGTAAATTGATACGATCGACCTCAACGCCAGTTCAGTTGGGAATTTTATTTGCTAAACCGAGAGAACAAGCATTCAACGCAAGCGGTAACGGTCAGGTGTCCAGCATTCATAGTATTGGTTGTGAATTAGATAATAGTCCAGCATGGCTTCATACAAATAATCAAGCCGTTGAAAATGTGAATTGTTATCGTAAATGGAGTGGTGTTCGTTCGAAAATGACAGCTATAACTCCCCTAAGACAAGTAATGTCTAAAAGTATAAAAAAGGCATTTGTGGAACATGGTTTCGCAACAGCTGCAGGAGCTTTACATAGGGACTCGAACTATCATCGAATGAATACTCCCCACTCTCCGAATTCATCCGTTGTCAAATCTCCCTCTTCAAGGCCGCTCGATTTACGCTTGTCACCAGCGTTACGACGCTGTCAAAGCGAAACTGAAGAAGTCTTGAAAAACCAAATATCTTATATTTCGCAGAATAAAAATCATAACGTCTTGTTATCCTCGCAAAAAGTTACTACAGAATCTATTGTTATTACACGTACAGAATGCACCGCAACTGCAATCACTAGTAAAGATAAGAATATAGAAGCTTCTACAGAACCATGCTCTTCAACCAGTTCTTCCTATCAGTCCGCTGCTTCCAGCTGCATGGAAGGTTCAATATTTAAATCATGTAGCAGCGTAAAGATCATAACTGAAACTACAGAACTAAACCAAGTACAATTTCAGGCCGATACGAAAAAAATTCTAAATTTAGAACCAGAAAAGAGTATAAATAATTATCCGGATCGAAATTGCGAATTAAAGAAAAGCATTAATAATCAATTGGTAGCCTTAACTCCCATTACGCGAATACCAGGAGCTCTTATAAATAAAAAGTTAATTAATTTTGAAACTCCTTTGAAGGATGAGACTGATTCACCCAAGTCGATGAACTCTTCAGTTGAGATGTTCTTTACACCGAATGCTACACCAGTGCGAAAAAACAGTTATGAGACACTAGCAGATTCTGATAAAGCTTGCAAACGTTTATTGCCAGAGCTAAATGATGCTGCCTCAGCTTCTTTAAAGGGACGTGGGCAAAGTACTGCTTTGCAAGACTATAACGATGAAGAAAAAGTGGCAAAGATTGAAAAACAAACGAAAAATAAGGCGAAGAATCAAAAACAGAGCATTTGGTCGCTAATGTCATCAGTAATACGTTTTCCGTCCTTTAAAGACACTGATCAGAATGAAACCTGTGCAGAAACAAATCCAAAGCCTACCTTAAAAAAATGTGCTTCAATAGCAGGTTGGTCCAGACAATTTTCTTTTTACTAAGCGTTTTAGTTATATTTTGTATTTCCCCGCATTTTCATAAGTAGGTACTAATGTACAAGCTCTGGATGGAAGGGACGGCGGGGACATTCAATTCACTAAACGTAAGCGCAGCAATACTATCGCTAGCCCAACTAATTATCCACAAACTCCCCAACGAACTGATATAAAAGCGATTTCACCTACAGAGAATTTGAATGGTTCACCTAAGCGATTCCGTATTCAAGGTCGAAGGCCTTTAGATCGTATGCTTCTTAATAAAACCTAAAATATTGTGCATTTTTTGAAATTATATTTATTAATTGTATGTCAAATTTTATATTTTATTGTTAATTGTAGAATTATTATTTTAAAATAAATTTTGTTATCAGAGACTTGTGTTTGGAAACTGTACACTAATCATCAATCAATAGAACTTTTTGTGAAGTAAGTTATTGTTAGCAGTAATGCGAGGAAATAAAGTAACGAATGAGGTCCATTGTGTTGCAATCGAAGCTTAATTCAGAAGAAGAAGGGAAATGCTTAACAACAGAATTGAAATTGATACAACTGACATAGAAATCAGGCTAACACAATGATACATTATTCCTATTTTCGGTTTTGAACTCGAACTTTGGTGAATTTTTACAAAATTTTATGGGAATTGACAAATCATATGGTTTTGCATGCATGTAAGCACAAGAAGAATTGATAATAAAGACCATTTATTTTAAAGTGGAAATTGTCCTATTAAAGAGTCTTAAATAGTAATTTTCAAATTATGAGTCAGTTAATTCACAAGAAAGCTCTCGATTGTATCATAAAATCTAAGCATATTATGAAAATTAACAAACTTTTTAATTTTATTTGCATTGATTTCTTTACATCGATTCTAAAACCATAGGTTTTTGTTTACATTTTCCTGTAAAACAATATGGTAGCGCGATTGCCACTTGTGTTTACCACTTGACAATTTTTAGGCCGGAAACGAAAATGACGCCTCACTGTGTCAGCTTCCTTACTTATAACCAAGCCTCCACTTTCAATCGACGACATCGAATAACTTTATTTAGAAATTGAAGAACTTTACTTTATTTTCAACTTTAGAGAAGTCAGCTATTATCACATATTAACGATATCTATTCGGCAAAGCAAAGATAAAATGTTCAATGATTGATTTTTTCATAGTAGCTGACCATTTTGTACAATCGCAGTCACAATATTTTCAGCTTCAAATTCTGCAATACGTTGAAGAAGGGAATAACAAGAGAAGATGTTGGAATCGCAAATTGCGTTGCTGCGCTCCAAGTTAGTTAATTATGAAATGGAATCATTGCAGTTTGAAAATAAAATACGCCTTTTATTGGATGACATCGAAATCGAAAAACGACTTCAGAATTGCAAACAAAATTAATGTGGTACTCGAAATCTAACAAAGTTTATTTTACAATACAAAATTTCGAGTTAAAATAAAAGAATAATTACATGTATTGTTTCGGTTTATTGTTTATTATCGCGTATATATATGTTACTTTTACTGATTTATAGACAAATAGTTGAATGAGGACTTACTTATGGAAAAGGAACGCATTCTAAGTGCCAACATAATACCAACATATCAAATAATATCGCGGGAAATTCCATCCATTAAAAAATTTCACTTCATCTCCATACGGCATTCTTCCCTTGACCAATTTGTTCTTAAGTATATAACAAAAATTTAATACGGTTTTGTTATTTCAATAATTAAATTTGATGACAATCATATGATTTCGATTATTTGCGCTTAAACTCTATGATACGGCATTCCCATTTTCGGCATGGAAATTCCCCTTTGCCGACTTTTCACGAGACGTTGCGGGTGTCTGCATAACTTTGCGTATCTATACAAAAATAAAATAAGAATACAATAATATACGATTTAAAATTTTAATTTACGGTTTATATTATATTGTTAGGTATAATAGGAAAAATAAGAAATAAAAGCGATTTGTTTATAATGTTAAATATATTTGTCATATCCAAACATTTAGGAGGCTGTCACATTGAAGCTTCACTTATATATCTAAGGCTTAGAGAGGAATAAAGAGGAAAATGAGTTTAGTTTATAAATTTTTATGAGTAAAATTTATAAAATTCACAAATTGGACGTGTCTGCCAGACGTGGGAATATAAACGAAACTTCATTGTGTCAACTGCCTTAAGTAATTGTTTTCTTTTGTTTCACTACGTTCATGAAGTTCACTTCCTGATCTTGAAAAATTTAATTTACTTTTACATTAATTTTCTTATCGTTGTTTTTCATATGTTCGTTGCTTACATTAAGTTGATTTTTTCATTTTTTCAGATCTCGAGCCACATGTTTTTGCTTATTTTTTCTAATAAATTAATATGATAACACGGCTTCTCTCTCACCGTGTGTCGTGCTTGGGACTTACTAAGCAGAACAACAAAATAACGCAGCATTCTGTTTTAAGGACTAAAGAGAAATTTTATAACACTTTTTAGGTGAAACAATTGGTTAACACTAGCAGCTGTTTTTAACTTTACGTTGCTGAAGCAGCCTTGAGATAATATTTGCAAGTAGTTCAGTAAATATTTACTAATTTTTCCAGGCTTTTATAAAGCCTGAGAAAATAATTTAAAAAATTTTCTTAAATATATAAAGTATTTGTTTTCCAATATTAAATAAGCAAAAAAAAAAAAAAACGTTTCGATTGTAAAGTTCGATAGTTAAAAAGTGTCTGTGGTTAACTTACATAAGTTTTCTTTCGGTATTTATTTAATTTTACAAAAACTACTGGTTTTTTTTTTAATTACGCAAAAATATAATGCGTTCTCGAAGTAATTCTGGAGCATGCTTAGATCACTATCAACGCATAGTGCATCGCCTAATTATGTCACATCAAGAACCAGTGACGGGTTTATTTCCGGCTTCCAACATAAATTCACATGCTTGGATCAGAGATAATGTTTACTGTATTTTGGCAGTATGGGGTCTTTCAATGGCTTATAAAAAGATAGCCGATCAAGATGAAGATCGCGCTAAATGCTATGAATTGGAACAAAGTTGTGTGAAATTAATGCGTGGCTTATTAATGGCTATGATGAATCAAAAAGATAAAGTAGAAAAATTCAAAATCACACAAAATCCCCTAGATTCATTGCATGCCAAGTATTCGAGTAAGAACGGTCAGCCGGTGGTAGGCGATAGCGAATGGGGTCATTTACAGATAGATGCCGTTTCTTTGTATCTGTTGGTTTTGGCTCAAATGACAGCATCCGGTTTACAAATTGTATTTTCTTTGGATGAGGTTTCGTTTATACAAAATTTAGTATTTTATATTGAGTCCGCTTACTGTATACCAGATTATGGTATTTGGGAAAGGGGAGATAAAACCAATCATGGTAAGTTAAATTTTATAAAAAATGTTTGCTACAAAAGTACAGAGAAAATTGCGTAAACTTTAGGTGAACCCGAATTGAATGCTAGTTCAATAGGAATGGCTAAAGCAGCATTAGAAGCCATGAATGAATTAGACTTATTTGGTGCACGGGGTGGACCTGCCAGTGTCATACATGTGCTTGCTGATGAAGCTCATAAATGTCAAGCTGTCTTACAATCTATGCTCCCGCGTGAGTCTAATAGCAAAGAACTAGATTCGGGTTTGTTGTGCGTAATTGGTTTTCCAGCTTTTGCCGTCGATGATCCGCAATTAATACGCAATACAAAGGATGCTATACTATCAAGGCTATTGGGTAAATATGGCTGCAAGCGATTTCTCCGCGATGGTTATCGGACTCCCAAAGAAGATCCGTCACGTTTGTATTACGAGCGATGGGAACTGCGTATGTTTGAAAACATTGAATGCGAATGGCCTTTGTTTTATTGCTATTTAATATTGTTTCACGCATTCCAAAACAATAAGTTGGCCGTTAAAGAATATGCTGAACGTCTGGAAGTAAGTTAACGTAATTATGCATAAAGAATGTAATCCATAAATGTGTGTTGGTCACTTAGAAAATTATGGTGCGTAGTGAAGACGGGATTTTGCTGATACCCGAAAGTTATGCGGTGCCGCAAGAAGCAGTTTCTAATGAATACCAACAACCAGGCTCACAGGCAAGGGAAGTGGTGGGTCGTTGTCCTTTTCTGTGGGGACAATCGCTATTTATTTTAGGCAGACTTTTACAAGAAGTAAGAAAATATTTTTCGAACTTTGGGTTTTCTTATTTTATTTTATGCTCCTTAAGGGCTTCCTGGCTGTTGGCGAACTAGATCCTTTAAATCGACGACTAGGTGCTCAAAAAAAACCTGATGTTGTAGTGCAAGTGGTTATCATTGCCGAAGATGTTACCATACGTGATAAATTGGCTGAATATGATTTACACGTTCAAACTATATCCGAAGTGGCTCCCATAGAAGTTCAGCCAGCTCGAGTCCTAAGTCATTTATACACCTACTTAGGTCGCAATCGAAAATTGGGCTTAACCGGTCGTAAATCACGAGATGTTGGCATTCTAAGCACCAGCAAATTGTATTCACTTAAGGACAGAATATTCGCCTTTACACCACAGGTGAGTAAATAGATTAAGTGAAGGATTCGAAGAATTCCATTTTAGTTATATAAACTTTACTTCTTTCTGTTATTATTAGTTAAAATTATTTACTTTCACAATTTTTATATATTATTTTTTTTATTTATAATTAGTTTGCTGATCTGTCACGTTTCTATATCGCTTCCGATAATGAGTTAATGATTGACATATTAAAAGGCGAAATAAATTTTCTAAAATCTGCTTGGGATTTGCTCGGTCGTCCCTTGGTTACGTTAGTTTTGAGAAAGACTAATTTAGGTCTGTCATATTGTCAATTGCCTATTGCCTGAATAATATTCATTTTCTCCCTTTTACTGCAAATAATATATATTTTGATGTGATTTTTGTTTGTGTGTGTATATGTTGAAATGAATGGTTCTTTCAAAGTATGAAAATTTTTGGTAGACGAAAAATAGATTTAACTACTTGTTCTAAACTAATATAATTGAAAAATGCATATATATCATCGTATGCATCATCTTGAATATAATGAATGAATGGGGAAATGTTCGAAAGAAACCTTAAACTAATGTCCTAACAATAAGTTCGCAAGAAAAATGAATGTCATCACCGAACAGTGGTGGTATACAAATTTTGTCATTCCGTTTTTAACAGTTAGTTATTCATTCTCACTTAATAAACCCGTATATATATATATACATATATATATATATATATATATATTGTAGTTAGTTTATTGTCCCCTGCATGTTAAATTAGATTTACACGTTTATGGATCACGATCGGCATTAATTTACATTTTAAATATGATATACACGTATGTGTATAAAATTATTTTCTCTTTTTTTTTTTTTTACTTTCTTTTTTTTGTTTGGCCTCAAGGAAAAAATGAAAATGGAATATGTGCACAGTATTATTTTAGTATTATTCATAAACATAATTGTAATTATTTGTGTTTTTTATTTTTTGTTTTTAAAAATTCATCAGCATATCGATTATGAAGAATATTATACCACACGTGATCCAGACTTGCTTGCAAGTAACTTCACCACGAATTTAGCCTTCCTAACAAACAATTGGCGTCATATGTTAGGAAGACCCACAATTACCTTAATGGCCACGCATTACATGCTAGGTAATTAATCATCCTTTTTCGTTCCAATTTCATATAGTTTTTCATACAAATACATTACAGCACTTATAAACACAATGTGAGATATGCGCATATTTATGGAAGTTAAAAGAAATTAAGGCATGTCTATGCTTCGCGTTAAGCAGCTATCACTCTTTCTAAGTTAATTAAAATGATCATGCCTGCATTTATTGCAGTTCATACACTTGCTTTCTACAATTTATAAATTTTTGTGTTATTCTCTTGTGGCAAGGAAGAAATTTTGCTTTTCACAATACTCGCAAATTTGAAATCATAAACCTTTAGACGACAAACGATAACTGCTTCTTTTTGCCATTAGCTTACTTCACTTTATTGGGTAACTAAGGTAGTTTCATATATTCTCAAGTTCCTTGTATATACTGGACTATTATATATACTGGACTATTAAAACTTTATGATGACAATCTTATTAGCACATTTACAATATGGACTTGGTTTTGAAATGGAGAATGTAGAATTACTGCTTAGTGGTATTTGAAGATATTGTACTTTGTTTTTAGGAATGGGGGAGGGCTTGATATTTTTTTTTTTTTTTTTTTTTTTTTTTTTTTTGGTTGAAGGATGCTTTGAAAAAAGTTCATTACCCGTAAAAAATTGACTCCTTAAAATTTCTTAATCAATATCGTAAACAAAATGTGTGTTGGCCGTAGCGACTGACATTGCTATCTGCAATTTTAATGAATGTATGATAAATATTTTAAAAATCATTAAAGTTATGAAGATGGACATTGGTATCTTATAATACAATTTGCGCTAACCTGATTAAGAAAACTGAGCGATCCTTCACAGATGAAGCAAAACAGCCAGGTTGTGTTGCAAAAATCGCCAAGAAGAAAAAAAAAAAAAACGAGGAGGAATATTTGCAATTAGAAAGGCAATTTTAAAATCCTGGAAATGGATGTAATTAATAAAAAATTTATTTTGATAAAAACCTGTGTACAACACTTGCCAAAACCTTAACATTAGAACTACTGAGTACGTTATTTTGATCCTTTTCATTTTACAAAGCATGTAATGTTCCGAAATTTGCTGTGACTTTCTATTTATAAGAAAAGACCTTTAAATGCCTATAATTAGTTTTTTTTTCTAGCTAGTCTAGTTTTCGAGATGCTGATGACGTATTCCTACCAAACGGGATCCTTTTCATCCTCTATTTTTGTCAACTTGTCGCAGTCGTGAAAATGAAGATAGGAATCTTAAGTTTGCCATAGGTATTCTTTGCCCAATTAAGAATGTGAAGTGAAATATTAGGTGTGATCTGTTTTTGTCCTCGTCCTCACTATGGAAGAAACCGGAATAATTTCGGAAAAACGCCGACATCTTTTTTATATGCTTGTCCGTAACTGTCGATACCGTAAAGGTATCTCTTAAAATCTGTGACCCACATATTCATCAGTATGTTCATTGTCTGCCCAAAAATAGTGTTGATCGGCGGTTTATTAATACCGCCACAATTGGGGTTAAAATTTTAATTTCAACCTATTTCCCATTTATTCTCTCACACATATTAGCATATTTTTTTCCATCCAATAACAAACAAATTGGAAGTTAGTTGGAATGCAAAATTTCGTCGTTAATTATGGGCGTATTAGGAAGCCGATCGAAGCCATTTTTGCGCCGAAGGCGCAGATAGATTTGACAACCATTCAGGTAGCGGATTTTCCTGAAATATCTTTACAAGATCGAAAGTTATAGAAGAGAATATGAAAAAGTTATCGATTTTTTGTCGAGATAGTTTTAGGTTCTCATTTATGGTGGCCGTGTATGTGGACAAATCACAGACATTTTTATACCCAACAAAAAAAGAAGCTTCGGAGACCCCAAAGTATATATATATATATATATATAAATATATACAATCTTGATCAGCATCAAATCCTGAATCGATTTAAGCATGTCCGTCTATGTAATCGCCTGCAAATTTGGCATAAACATTGTAAGCTCTTGCATGCAAGTTGGTATTGAAAACGGGTCACAAATCGTTTGAAGGACATATCTACAGTACTACGTAAAGTGAGAAGACCTTTATCTTTCGAAAGGAGTGAGAACTTGATTGTTTGATCATTACTCACAAGCTATATCAGATAAATGTACAAAAATTTGAACGTATATTCTATGGGTGATGCAGTCGTACGTACTACTTGAATAAAAATGGAAAAAAATCGGTTACTTTTATCCAATAGGATAGTGTGTCAAAATTTAATTTTTTTTCCAATACTTTGATAATGTGCAGAAGCAGTAGGTTCAAGACCCCAAAGAAATCTGAAATGCATCGATCTGCATGCCTGTGTATTCATCGACCGTTAGCGAAAATTCAAGATACGCCCACACGTGACACATGCGACAAAAGCTTTTATTTTGAATATAGAAAAATCAACCGGGTCCAGCATGAAAAATCAGTTCTTCTACTTTTTTTTTTGTCATTTTTAGTATAGTGGTGATGGTGATGATGGGTATAAAAGTTTCCGGTGACGATCAAACATAATTTTCTTACTTATTGATATTTTCGAATCGTTGGATAAAATGCGTTCTTCTGTTCATCCAATTGGCTTCAAATCAAGCTTCAAGCAACAGTTCCGTTTTTAGGCGAGTTTTCACACGAATCTGGCTTTAAAATATAAATTTAGTTTATTGTTCGGACAATGATATAAACGGAAACTTGTAGCACTTGATGTCCACGTTGTCGTATACCCTCATCCATAAGCTTTATTATATTGGAACGTGAAGCCGACTTTTAAGAAATTACGTTTTTTTATTCAACTCCTTTTGAAATAAAGTTCGTATCATTGAAATGTGATTGTTAGGTTAGTGTAGGATTTATTTGCAAAATTAGGTAATCTATTTATAAATTATTTACAGGAATTTCTTTGTATTTGTAACGCTTTAATTCTCCTTCTCTTGACTTGGCACTTTTCGACTCACTCCACCTTCCGCATATACTTTGCTTATATACTCTTTTACAAGCAGGTTACCATAACCTACAAATTAGGAAAAAAGTGCCATTTTCGTAACAAAGTGAACAAAGCTAAGGAAGATATTTGTAATTTCGTGGAGATCTTGAAGAGAGATCCTAACACTCTAATGTTCCAATTTAAAACGAGTCTTCTCAATTAATTAATTAATGAATTAATGAATTAATTAATTTTTAAATGAGAATTTTACTAATTTTTGAAATTAGTTTCACCCAGAACTTATAACTCGCGACCGTCATAGTAGCCTTTATGTGGCGCTATAAATGTACACGATATGTATAGCATGCATCCACTTTCGTGCATGTACCTTCGAGACTTACTAAGCTAATATACCGGAAACCTATCGCCTATCGCTCTATTTGTATAGAGTTTTCCACAACGTTAATACATTATAACATATAACATAATACATACCTGCTGCTCTTTGGGTACATTATGTTTGCGTTTATTACGTCATATACGTCCGTCGTGCATGTAAACACTAATCTCGTCAACGTTACGTATACGGCTTTCGCTTAGACAGCATGTACTCTACTATTACCTATGACTGTCCAAAACTCCTAAAAAAAAAAAAGAAAAAAGTAATTAAGTGATGATAGTTATAAGTTAAAACCAAACACAAATTATTTTTTTTTTTTATTACTCAACACGTCTAAAATTGTTAGACGTATATTTCACGTATGTGGTGACTAATATATGCTTGAAAGTAATTATTAGTTATAACTAAGTTACATACGATTCCTGTTTATCCAAATATATGCGCTTTCCCATGCTTCATGCGCTGGAATGTTTTTTCTATTGTTGGCGAATCTTACGCGAAACCAAAATCTATCTGGAGCCATGAACTATACTAAGCTTGCGATTTCCAACAACAGGTAATAGATAGACGAACGAACACGAGCAGACAGGATTAAATCGACAAAAAGTCTTGTTCTGATTATGAATAGATGGTCGGCTATAAGCACTGTTATGCGTTAAAAGCAGTAGGACAAATTTTGTTAGACCACGCCATGCTTCGGTGGTGGACATGAAAAATTTTTGTAAGCAAACAATTACAAAACTAAATCTGAAATATATATTTTTGTTAGTATACTAACATGTTCTTGTAGAATTAGTAACTAAAGCATGATTTTGTCAAGTCCGTGCAAGCTCTAGTTATTTTATATAATTTTTTTTTTTTTTTTTTTTTTTTTTTTTAAATATATATTTGCAGATCAAGATAAAATACCTTTGGCTATGATACAAACAATGCGTAAATTGAAATCCGGTTACATTAATGGCACACGCGTAATGTTGGGAAATTTAAAAGATTTTCTAAATACATCGGCCATTACTGATTTCAGTTTCCTGGGCAGTACTGAGGACGGTTATCCCGATCGCCTACATACCGATATTCAAACTTATTTAGATGAACATCTGTTAAGATCATTTAGTTACCGTAATGCAATGAATTTACGCGGCAGCCAATTTAGGCCGACACATTTGCGAAGACGGATGTCTTGCAAAGGAGCTATTAAGAAAACCCGATCCATAAATGTGGATTGTATGCATATTACTTTTCTTTGCACACACCGACATTAATTATTTCATTATATTTTTAGCGGACACTTTGGGTATGGAAGGCCCGACACCATTAACAGAAAGGCGTTTATCGTCTGTGATTCCACCACCTTGGTTACAGGCTAATAAACAAACGCATGTTAGCATCTTTGGCATAACGCCCGAAGAGGAACCTCCGGCCGCTAACAATAGTAAGACTGGTGCATTGATACGCGAAAATATATATCCAATTGGCCATAATCATAGTCGTTCAGCGTTGGAAAGGCGCGGTATGCATAACTACATATATATATATATATATTTCGAGGGAAGCATTTTAATTTTCTATTTTCAGCACAAAATGTTCCTAAAACGTTGATACAGCGTAATCGTGCTGATAATAATTTTGCTGATACCGAAGTAGAAGAACTTGTAGCTATGTTAAGAGAAGCGGAAAGCCTTGAAGAACAGGGGGACATTTTGCAATATCTTGTTGATACACAAGGTCTAGATTTCAATACGGGTATGTTAGAGGAAGTCAAAAAAAAAAATAAAAAAAAAATATATATATATATATATATATATATATATATATATAGATTATAGCTGAAATGTACGGATACACATATACATTAAAACACTTACACTTTCATCTTATTATTAAAGCATTTTTCTTTTATGATTCAAGTCCAGTGTTCATCATTATATCCTTGTAAACTAAAATAACTTTTTCCTTAAAATAATTTCATTTCATTTCTTTTAATGTATGCACATGTGAATGTTTTCTTTCGCTTATAAACTATTCGTTTCAATTAGCCGGCTTAGGAATGAAACTCAAAACGTCAACATCCGGTAAGTATTAAATTTCCCATTTGTTATAATTCCTTAACAGAATTGAGTTCATTGAAGTTGCATAAATTCATCATTGATTCATATATGTGTATACTTTGACTTTGAATTTCAAATAATGTCCTTCCTTATCTAATAGCTAAACAATTAAAATTTCAATGTTTCATTACTTATGCATAATGGATTATTCTGGACTCTTAATTACTAATTGTGTACAGTGTTTCATTAAGGGCGTCTGTCAAAGGACCTTGTTTTGAAGAATTCAATTCTTATGCTCGCTGCATGACAAGCTTTAGTATATTACATTATATTATCTGATTAAAAGTAAATATCGGAGATTTTTAGAAGATGTAAATTTATATTAAAAATAACCAAAAACTAATTCAGTTTATGAAAATCGTCTAACCCGATAAGCTCTATTTGTCATCAACACGTTTCCACACGACACGAGACAATATTTCTTTCACTCTTCTTTTTGGCATAAGAATACTTTTTCAGAATAATATATCTATCTATCAGAATAATATTCTAATATCTATCTATCTATTCATTACCTATTTGATTTGATTATAAAGATTTTGGAAAAAAATGAAATTATTACACACCCAGAAATTGGGTAGACGCGGTCAATTTTTTCCATTGTTTTTTTTTTTTTTAGATATACTTTCAAATTTTTGTAGATATATCTGCCGGATGTAGGAGGAGGGGGGTGTCTATCGATCGATCTGGCCCATTTTCAATACCAACTTCCGTGTAAGAAGTTCCAATTTGTCCGCGCAAATTTGAAGTCGTTAACCTCACTTTTGCAATCAGAAGAATATTTACCAAACCAAACTCTCTCAAATCTTTAAATCGATTCAGAATTTAATGCTGATCAAGAATAGATATATAATTTGTGGGCTCTCCGAGGCTTCTTCCGAGCGTTGCATATGCTTGAACAAAATGAATTATTCAGAGATGGGTATAAAACATAAAAGTCATCCTTACGGACAGACCCTAAAAATAATCTATTTGGGCTATCGCATGATGATGATAATTACTTTAACAAACTTAAGGCAAGTCCTTTCATATCATATCATTTGTGATTTATGCCTGGAGGAGGATTGAAAAAGCTCGAAAGCAATGAATTGCAAGATTTATTGAACGAAAATCTCGCTGAAATTGGCAAAGAATTTCCGTACAATTAAGCAATTAACGAATCGACTGTGTGGTTCACACAAGATGCGAGAAGTACACACATGAAAAGTTGCTTATCCAATTTTATCCCTTACACCTAAGTCTAAGTTAAGTCTATATTATGGTTATATAAAAATTATGAGGCATTTGAGAGAAGTTCATCTTTTATGACATCATTCAATTCAGAATCATTTCCCGAATCTGGGCTGTTCACGTGACTCCTGTTCACCTTACCCGTGACAATATTCGACATATGTTTATGAAACTTGGTAAACTAGAATGTTTCGATTCAAGAACAAATACTATGGCGAACGGTTTGGATCGATCGAATCATTTTTATAAACCATATAACGTTCTGTTGGAGAAAAATCTTGCAATTTTTTATATATTCATTTGCAAAAATCCGTTAAAAAAGGCATGTTTTGTACAATTGCGGATGAGATGGGGGATGGTTTTGTTGAACACTCTTCAATATTAGAAAACTTGCTTGCAAAGAATAAAGTTCACATTTTTCATGGCCAGAAAGTCCTTTATAATAAGAATTGGTCTACACGTATAAATTTATTGTGCAAAAATGTGGATAACATATTCGGAACTTGGGAAGCTTGACAAGAAAATTTATTTTGCTTAAAGTTACATTTTGACTCCCCTCACCCCTCCTCCAATGCTTCTACAAAGGCTCTCACGAGAAATGACATTTTATATGGGTTCATGTTTTCTTTTTTAGGATATTAAGACGAAAATAGGTAAAATCTCTTAGGCAGAGCGCTGTAGTAGAATATTTCACTATCGGATTTCGTCGCTTATAATCTAGTAACTTGTGATTGGTTTGCCCCGGCAAAACTAATAGATCCAGATGGCTGTTTTTTTTTTTTTTTTTAATTTTCTTTTCACATTTTCATTTTAAAAATTTTTTTTTTTTTGCTTTTCTGCTCTTTTCTTATTCGTGTTGGTACTTTTTTTCTTTGTTATGCTAACGAAAAATAAAAAAAATCTTCATTTCCCATCATCTTCCCATCACTAATTATTATTATTATTATATTATAACACATTTCTTTATTGCACTTGTTATTAATGTTGTTGTTGTTACAAAAAAAAAAAAAAAAAAAAAAAAAAAATTATAGTTTTAAATGAAATGATGAAAGTTCGCAAGAGATTAATAGTAGTACAACAACGAATACAACAACAATATTATCAAGTTATGCTAAGGTGGTTGTGGGAATGAATGCAACAAATGACAGGAACAATGTTAATAATTTTTTTTATCCAATCCTGAAGGCATGGTGGAAGAAGGACGTGCGGTAACGGTACGCGATTTGCTCAAAGGTCTCTATGAGAAAGCATGTCAGCAAAAATTATGGGGTTTAGTGCGGCACACTGCAGGAATGTTAGGCAAACGCGTCGAAGATTTAGCCAAGGCGGTCACCGATTTACTAGTTCGTCAAAAACAAGTTACGGTTGGCATGCCGCCACACAATGAATATACTATAACAGCTCCTCTGCCAGAAGCCGATCTAAGGCAATTAATTCACGATGTAAGCAAACGGCATCAAGAGTTGTCCCAAAACTTTTACTTATTTATTTATTTATTTATTTATTTATTTCGCATTTCATTTAGGCTTACGGTGATGATGAAAGTACTGCGATGTTGACACAAGAATTAATGGTTTACTTAGCTATGTTTATACGAACTGAACCTCAGCTTTTTCATGAAATGTTGCGTTTACGCGTTGGTCTCATAATACAAGTAATGGCTAAAGAATTATCCCGTACCTTAAACTGCGATGGCGAGGCAGCTTCAGAACATTTACTAAATCTATCACCATTTGAAATGAAAAATCTTCTATATCATATATTGAGTGGCAAAGAATTTGCTGTTAGTAGTGGTAAGCTTACTTGATTTTTATTTGTATTTTTATTTTTATTTATTTTTTGCTTCATTTTCCAAGTGGCTCGTGGCAATCTTTCGATTGTTAGTTGTAAATCCAGTCGTGTTAGTAAAAAGAGTCAAATCGGTTTGGCTGATCCGGAAAGCGAAGATGCAGTAATAACTACAATTGATGATCGCCAGGGTCAATGGTTGCGTCGGCGTCGTTTAGACGGAGCTTTGAATCGTGTACCACGTGATTTTTACTCTCGCGTTTGGTCTGTGTTAGAGAAATGTCAAGGTCTTGCTATAGAGGGTAGAATTTTACAACAGAGTTTAACGCAAGAAATGACTCCGGGAGAATTAAAATTTGCTCTTGAAGTAGAAACGGCATTAAATCAAATTCCTCAACCCGAGTATCGGCAATTGGTAGTTGAAGCATTAATGGTATTAACGTTAATGACGGAACATAATATGGTGCCAAACTTGGGTGGAATTATTTATGTTGAACATTTAGTGCATAAGGCCAATCAATTGTTTTTGGAGGATCAGCGGAAAGTGCAAGGCGATGCCACACTGTGTTGCGCTAAATCTAAAGATGGTAAAGATCAAAATCAGGCTTCATCGGGTATGCTGTTATGCGGCGGAGCTGCCTATATATGTCAACATTTATACGACAGGTATTTATGCCTATTAAAATTATCGATATTATAAGATATTAATAAATAATAAATACGAATATATATATAAATAACGGTCATTATATTTGAATCGATTGAATAATGAGAGCTTTCTTCTATTTTAGCGCGCCCAGTGGCAGCTACGGTACCATGACTTATATGGCTCGATCTGTAGCCTTAGTTTTGGATTGTATACCTAAACATGGTGAAATAGAATGCAGTATCTCGTAAGCCAGATGATCCCTGGCTAATGTTTATAATGTTATTGTTTTATATGCTATTTTTAAATTTATGTTCAAATATTTATCGAATATTTTTGTTCGATAAAAGAAACGGCCTCCTTACTCTAAGCGAAGCTGAGCTGTAACACTCTTTATGATTTCATAGTGTAATTTCCGGGAATTTACTACACGGTAAACATGCAAATAAATTTTTTTAATTTTTAAAATGCATTTGTTATTTAATTTAAGAAAGTTCGACATTTAACTCGAAAAAAACAATAACAAATATCGAGTGAGTGAGTACCATTCTCGATAAAGTATGCATTTTCCTTATTTTCTTAGTAAAAGAGAGAAATCTTTCGATCATAAAATTGTTGTTGAGTAAATAGATTCGATCGAGTTTACTCGACGTCGAGAACCATAAAAAAATTTTTTTATTTTTATTTTCAAGTGTAACGTAATAGCAATATAAGTTAAAAAATTGCTCATTCATACGACGAAAACTTCTGCATTATGGCACTGTTGGCAAAAAAAAAAAAAACAATTATGTTGAATATCCTCTAACGAAAATTGACCTATTTTTTAACACACTGACATCGTCCGTCCTAACAAGGATAACAAAAGCAAATTACTGTTATGTTGTTTTAAGGCTTTCACTTTACGAATTTCATTAATTCGGTTATTCTGAAGTCTGTATCTTTTTCGATTTTCAGTTCTTCATTTCATTGCTTCATTTCAATTTTAAACGCTTGGGATCATTTTCGAGCCGATCTAAGCATCCTTTTGCCCCTCTACCTGTTTGACATTTATCTACGTATTCTTGTGTTTATCACAAATCACAATCAGAGATATTTTGATGATTCGAAAGAAATGCATGAGTTCGGATCTACTGCTTCCCGCATAATCGATTTCTATACGATATATATAAATTTTACAATTTTAATATTTCTCGGTGAAAGTAAAGAAAGAAAACAACATTTTGGCATACCACGTAAGTAAGGAAGAGTTGAACAGAATAGAATCATTTTTTTTAGTGTGCTAGATATAAAAGCCTGTTTATGACCATAATGTCCAATTTTCATAATGATAGCGGGGATAATTAGTGAAAAATAATGATTTTTATAGTTGGATGTCCTTTGGTAAATTAAGACATTAACGTTCAGTCTTTAATGTCACGTCGAAAGTAACTTAAACACTGTATATGGCGAAGTGGTCTATGTGGGAAGGTTTTCCTTTCTTTTTTACTACATTTTAGCCATTGTTTCTTCAAGTTTTTGCTTTTTTGAATAATATATAGAAAGAATAGTTCGTATATACAAGATGGTCGTCAGATCAAGACTACGTGCTCGGAGTGGTTAGGTAAGTTTTTTTCTTTCCGCCTTTCAACCTGATACTTGACATCCGTTAATTTTTCATTTCTCCCTGATTAAGAAGAACTCCAGTTTACTGTATTATGAGTTTAAAGTCACAAACTGCAGAATTGGAACTTTTAATCTAATTCTAAATTTCAATTTCTAATTTCGAATCTTCAAAATGCAGCAACGCTTAGCCTTCAATTGGAGATATTGGATTAAACAACAAATGTTTCTTAGCAGAATGTTACTGTCCCGCATTGGCGAAATTTTATTAAAAAATTAATATCAGCATAACCACAATGTGAAAAGAGTAAAATATAATACGCAATGAATTAAGAGTTAGAGGTATTTAATCGAATTAGTTGTAATGAAAGAAAGAATATAGAATAAAGGAAGTAATTGTAGAGCAATTAATTTTCATTTAACAATAACCGCGATCGGGAACACGTTTCCTGGGAGCGCATTTTATAATGTTATCTACGCGCAATATCATTTCGGCTGCTTCCGTAGCGGACAGCAATACTTGGCGTTTAACGGCGAACGATTCGGTTATACCCAATTCTTTCATATCACCGATTTTACCTTTCTCCATGTCTAGGCCGGCTGTGGGTGTGCCTTGCGCATGAGCAGCTCTTAATTCGGAAATTAATTGAGCGGAATCGTAACCGGCATTGTCAGCAATTGCAGTGGGCAATGTAAGTAAGGCGCCTATAAAAAGATGACATGTATATATATAAAAAAAATATATTTTAAACTTTTTATATAAGTAATTAAAAAAAACTTGCGTGCAAAAGCCTCCATTGCAATCGACTCTTTTCCGGGTGTCTCGGCAGCTTTTTTAAAAACAGCATTGGCCATTAATGCTTCAGAGCAGCCACCACCGAAAATGGTACGCGATTCTTTAACGGTCGCAGCCAACACACATAACGCATCATGTAGGGAACGTTCAGCTTCGTCTAAAATTTGTTGCGTAGCTCCACGAATTACTATAGTGCAGGCTTCACCCAATTTGACACCACTAAAGCGTAATAAAGTATCCTCTCCAATCATAACTTGTTCGATAAGTTCACATTCACCCAACTTAACCATTGACGGATTATCAAAGGTCGACACAATTTCACCACCAGTGACTAAAGCCAAGCGTTCAATGCCATCAAAATCAGCATGTTCAATAGCCATTATGCCGGCATCAGCGAACAATTGCTCAGGGTAATTGTAGATCAATTGGCGGTTAATAAATACATTGCAATTATGATTGAGAATCTTTTCGACTTTATCTTTCATTTTTTCTTTTTCAGCTAATTCGAGGTCAGCAATTTTAGCTAAAGAATCGACTTTAATGCTACTACCGAAAACCTTGATTTTATCTGTATCCATGGGTGTATTAGCAATAAGGATTTTTGCCTTTTGAACCTAAACAATGATGAGATTGTCTTTTAATTATTCATGAGTCAATTAAAAATCTTTGCTTTTAATTATAGCATATATATATATATATAGTGCTTTTTATTCAGTTGAAACGCATTCACCAGCAAACTCGTCAAAATGGCTGTGATATGTCTATTAAAAAATACATAATTCACAACCGTTTTGGCGGCCTGATAGTAAACAATTCTTGTTCACTTTAATATAAACAACTTATGCAAATATAAAGCTTACCCTTTGAGGTTGATGTACACCCGGCTTTTTGTCTAGTAAAAAGCCTTCGTCTAGAAAAGAATCATCTAAAGTGCCGCCAGTTTTTTTAATAATTTGAAGCGCATGTAAATCGCCTGAGCCTTTTAAACGTAACACTGCATTCACTGCCAATTTCGCGAAGAAGTCCTTATGTTGATGCAAAATTTTTGATGATAATGTAGTACGCGATATATTTAATAAATCTTCTTTGAATTTTTCATCATTTGCCGAATTATCCTGGGATGCTTCGGTTAGTGCTTCACGGGCTACTTTTGTAGCCATACGCCATCCAGCAATTATTATTTGTGGATGCAATTTTTGATCGATAAGTTTTTCAGCTTCGCGTAAAAGTTCAGCTGCCAAAACAGTAACTGACGTAGTTCCATCTCCGACCTCGTCATCCTGCACGCGAGACATATCGACTAGAATTTTGGCAGCAGGGTTATCAACACCAACAGCTCGTAAAATAGTAGCTCCATCATTTGTCACTTGGACTTCGCCCATATTACGGCCGTGTGATACCAATATTTTATCCATGCCTTTAGGGCCTAACGTGCTTTTTACTAAATCACCAATAGCAATGGCTCCAATAAAGGACGAAAGCCTTGCCATTTCGGCTTTTTCTTCCTGTGCGTCATTTTTAAGCACTCGTACAGGATTTAAAGACACCTCCTAGAAAAAGTAATAATTGTATCATTTAAGAAAAAGTCTTGAATAGCGTGGCAACTCTAGTGCAAAACGGCTAAAATATACAGAGCCACGGACTAACATAACCAAACTTTCGTTTTCGATTTAATAAAGCGTTTCTTCTAGGAGCAGAAGAAACCCTTCTTACTGAGATCCACGCCTAATTCATGAAATTCATTCAGTGTGGGTGTTTTTAGCACTTATCAGGATGATTCATAATTACCACATTGTTTAAAACTAACTTTGAAGTAATTTATAAAAAAAGAGAAAAGTCAGAATCATTTTCGTAAATTAGTCGGATAACTTTTTTCTTTTCCTTTTTTTTTTTAAAAAATCTACTAATAAAATATAAAAATTTATGACAAAGCAAGCAAAGATTTTAGAATAATCTGGAACCGAAATCTCACGTGTATTTATCGTGGTCATTGATGCGGCCATTGTATATTTACTAGCCGGTAATCTTTTTTTTTTTTTCGTATAGCGTTCTTATATTATTGCAATAGTTTACATAAATTTTCATGGCTACGCTTCCTTATACATTATATATGTAATTATTTTAATACTTTTATAAAAAGTTTTTCTTACCATTTTTATATAAATTAACAAATTCAACCTTTTTCTTTCTTTAAAAACCACACAATGCACTTACACAGAGAAAACACCCGTCTATACTGTTGCCAAGAATCGCAATATGATTGTCAAGCCAGCAATTTGTGGGGAAAATTTTTAATGTTACTAAAGAGAATGAATTATTTGTTATTTATCGATTTTATCGATAACTCTTATCGTTCATTCTTTCTCTATTATATTGAAACAAAAAAGTAAATTGTACGCGTACATATTATTAAATGTAGAAGAAGACGATTTTCTTTAATTATTACTCTTAAACTCTTAAATCTCTTAAAGCAGCAGCATGACCATGGGGAGTTGTATTACGTTCTTTCTGTAAAGTAGCAGAATATTTAACTACTGTTTTGTTTAATTTGATAATTATTATTATTATTATTATTATTATTATTATTATAAATTTAGCCAGAGAATAAATTCTAAGACTAAAGTCTTATCGGCTTATTAATTTGATAATAGCAATGCATTTGTCTTAAAATATGAGCCGTCCAGTTTAAAATGCACGACACTTAGAAGAAGTCTGATATTGTAGACAAAGTTGTAAAATTTATAAATTTAGGTTTATGTCCATGGTAATTGATTTTATGAAACTTGTAAAACCTTCCTTATTTAATAACGGGGTGGTTTTGCAACTTCAATTCATTTCTATATAGAACTTGAATAATTTCTTTAGAAATTGTAGATGATGCCAAGTTTTTGCTTTATCGATAAAAACAAACATGCCTGCTATTTTAAAAAAAGTAGTGGATGAGAAACGAAAACTATAATGCAGGATATGAAAAAGTACATATGAATCTATCTTAAGCGCTTTTGAATACGACAAACGTCCGCCTAAACTGAATATACCCTGTACCACAAATGGTGTACAGTAAATATAAAACAAATAAGTGTATTTTACCCATAAAATCGTCACAACAGATCACGAATATATTCGTTTTTCATTTTGTTAATATATGCACGTACTGTTTTCTATTCTTTAAGAAAGAATTTCTATCGAAGTTTTGGCCGCATAATGCGCTATGGATTAAAATGAAATTGATATTTTTTATTTGCTTTCATTTATTATTTCGATACAAATGGTGTGAAAGATTATTTCAAAATTCCAACAAAAGGTAAGTTTGGTTCTTTTTAATTCCATTATTATTCGTTCCAAATGAACGATATCGACAAGAGCGATAGCAATTATCAACTTTCACGCGCGACAAAAGTCGTAATGACATTCCTTAGCAGAAATATGAGAGAAAGCAATGGCTAAAATTGTAAATATAAATAAAATGAAAAGAAAGGGCGAAAGAAGAAAAGAAGAAACGATAATCGTCAAAAGAGATTGAATTTTTTGCATTACGTAAATATCGTATACGAATGTGATCGCATTGACTTGATTTATGGTTGGATTATGGTTGTTTCTGTGGACCTATTGTTGGCTTTTTGCAGTCGATGTACACTTTACAATTGGTAAATTACTAACTTATGAGGTTGTTAATGAAATTACACTTCATTGGAAGAAGAAGCAATGAAAGAATTTATTTATTAAATTTAATAATTTTTATTATTATAATTTATTTGGTCCATTGAGATAAATGCTAGGATTAAATAATTAGAATGAGCACTAGTGCTAGGCAATATTTTTAATAAATAATCAATATATTTAATTGAATTTTACTTATGAAAGTGTGTTATGTAATTTGATTTAGAGAAAAAATAAAAATAAAAAAGTAAGCGCATGCAAGGGCAAAATTTTGATTACTTAACTATTTTTAATTTTTATTCGCTGCATTGGCACAAAACGTACAAATTGTAGCTCTAACATTGCTTGATTTATCACTGCATTGATGGGTTAAATATACCGAGCAAGGTCTTTCAACATTACCTAAAAATAATATAAACGTAAACTTACAAAACAGTATATAGATAATATGTAATGTGCGTGTATGTATAAAATTCTTCAACCATTTTTTTTAAATCAACGTAAGCTTGGGTCCGCTAGTGCAGATGACTCGTAAAGGAATCCTTCGAAATTCAATTACTTTTCCATCGCATCGACGGACACTACCAATTTTGGCGACATCCAAAATTTATAATCACTTTATTTTAAAAGTAAATGCGATATCCGAAATGTGTGCCATAACATCCACAACGATATAGATATGATTCTTCAAGTTATATAATAGGTGATTGCATGTATTTTGATCAGTTACATATATATATTCATGAATATAATAAATAAAGTAATGGAAAGCATCAATATACACAATGGTTACATTCGATGGTCCATTGGTCCATTTCTCCACATAAAATAAAATAACAATTTTTCATTTAGTATTTTCGAGTTATCCAATGTATACCGATAGCAATCGTGGAACGGTCAAAATTGCATTATCGACATTTTAGACGTTCTCATGTGACAAGGAAGATCCAAAAGGAGGGAAAATGGCTACCATACTAATTGACTGAAAATGCCAGTTTGGAATGGAAAAAATTTGTGTGACATATTGTGACGGGATGAAAAATGGATCTACTAAGACAACCGGTCCCAAGCGCAAAAAGTCATAGGTTAGTCCAAAGAAGACACCCAACGGCGACTCCGAGCCGCAATATTCATGTCCACAAAGTTGTGTTGTGCATATGGTGGGATAAGCGAGGTGTTGTGTATTAGGAGCTGCTAAAATCCAATGAAACTGTTACTGCAGAAATCTACCGACATCTATCTAACGAATTGAATGAATTGTTGCAAGAAACACCAGCAACGCGCGACCGTACGTTACAACCGTTGTCAAAGTTACAGTGTTGTAGCTCGAACGGGGAGTTCGGTCGCAGCCAGGGCACTCACTCAGGCATAGCTTTTTCTGATTATCACTTATTCAGATCGATGCAGCATGACTTGTCTGGCAAGCGGTTTCGAAATTTCGAAGAAGTGCAAAAATGGATCGAAACCAATATTGTTCTTACGACACGGTATCGCTGTAGAAAATGACGGAAAATGCTTTGATGAATGCATGTTGGACTAGTTTTTCCCAACATATGGCTTTTTCCTGAATGTATGACTTTTTCCCGGGAAAGAAATAATCAAGATACATACAAGCACCTAATAAAGTGGAATGAAAAACAAGTAAAAGCACTATAGCGCCACTATCTTACGCCAGTTCAAAATAAGGTGTAGCGAAAGTGATCAAAAAAGTAGTCCGATCCGCATCATTTTCAATACCAGTCGTCCGCGAGTTAAACCATTTCAGTATATTAAATTTTATTAAGATATCCTAAAATTGTTGGGCGAGCACAAGGAAAGAAGATCGACAGACAGACAGACAGACCGACGAGCTTCAGAGCGAGATTTTGAATCGGTCAGTATAATAAAAGTATAATAAAATAATAACACAAGTCCTTCTGGGTATCGCGCACTTCGGCGCAAATTTTTTATACCCTTGAGCCCACAAGTGGTGTAGGGTATAATAATCGGCTTCATTTGAAATTTGAAATGCTCTAGCATTTGTGTCATTTTGAATGAAACAAAAATGATAGCATATGTTATAGCATTTACGACCGACCGTCAGTGTGTGTTAATTACTATTATTAAAAAATATTTTCATATTTTAATAAACGCGATTGCTGTCGAGATCTATGAAAAGTGCTTCTGAATGATTTATCAATTTTAGTTAAATAACATTACAAAAATAATGTAGCATAAGCAGTGTCAGCAATGTGAAGGTTCCGATTTTTCAAGTGGCTGAACAAAATTTAACTATATATTATACTTGCGATATCAAATTTTTTTTTTTTGGAAGATAATGGGCGCCTCAAAATTAAATGGTGTTTTAAGTGTATGTTCCGAGTTAGGAAATGATTCGTAATGGCCGCAAAAGTAGTTTTAATGCGATTTGTTTAAGGTATAGTGTCAATGGAACGGCCTGCCTAGTTATTGCATAAAGAACGTAGCAGTGCCCTTAGCTTTTTTGAAAGAAAGATGCATTTGCAAAATCCAATTTTTTTTTTTTTAAATTACACACATTTACACACATATACACACATTCACAGATAAGTGATTATTTTAAGGTGTTTTGAAGGATATCGTGATTTTATCGCATGCGATTTTCATTAATTTGCATTTGAAAGAAAATTTATTTGAATGCAACATTGAAATGTCAGATCATTTTGCGGCATCTTTCGCTGGAAGCTTTAAAATTTCTGTTTCAGTTTTCCATATTCGAATCGAAAAATTTTGTACATTACGATTTTCGAAAATTGGTTTCCTTTCCCGACAGATAATATTTTGCGGATTTTTATGCGATTAATTGTAAAAATCTTTGATTTATTTGTAAAAATCTTTGTGTGGATGGGAAACATGAGCAAGGCGTAAATAATCACGATTTTGATAATATGGCAGTGTTGGTGGAGTAGTTAGAATAGGAATATCAGGGCGTTTCTGTATAATTAATATATCGCATACCACTTGTGATATAAAAGCATATTAAGTTTATGTGAATGTATGCAACAACCAGAAGGAGTTGAGAAAGACTCATTTTTTACCACAGTAATCGATTCAGAAAGTGATTCTGAGTGTGTCTGTCCATCCGTCTTTCTGTCTATATTGCTTTCCTTTGTTTAATCTATCGTCTGCAATTTTTGAGATATTTTAACGGAATTTGTTACGCTGACATGTTCTGCTACGATTTTTGGTAATGCTTCTCACATAATTCCTTATTTTAAAAAGTCGTTATACGAATAACTGTAGGATTATATAGTGGTGGGTCGCGGTTAGGTTGTTTACTTACTTGTTTTTGAAATAAAAATTGGTTTAATAGTTTACTTATTTAAATGAACCAATACAGCTCTTCTTAGTCGAACCGAATTGAATATTGAAGATGGATGGAGGCACAAAATACAGATTTTTCTCATATATCCTCTACACCTGTGAGATAAAAGACGGAGACACAAATCCACCCACGATCACCAGCAAAGACGTTAAATTTGAATGAACTCCGATTTCTTATTACTCAAGACAAGTATCGTACCATACATGTAAGCATAGTATACGATTGCAAGAAAGAACTAAGATTCTTTCATTCGATATGGGCACATCATCCATTATGGATGATGATAATACAAACTCTTAAACAATTATGAACCTTTTATAGTTAGTTGGTTGTACATCCGAAAAATTGTTGTGCGTGGCTCGCTTGAGCTTGACTTTTCTCTTTACACCGATAACCGAAGTATGAGAGGTATATATATATATATATATATTCTTGATCAGCATTAAATTCTGAACTGATTTAAGCATGCCCGTACGGGCAATTGTCTAGCATCTGTGGTAAACATTCTCTCGTTTGCAAACATGAAGGCATCGTCTACACTCTTGTAAAAGAATTTGACAATGATCTAAACTTTTGAAAGAACGGGCCAAAGAACACCTTCGCTTACCGTGTTTTTTGCAAACAGGAATAAGCGGCCGCGGCCAATCCATATTATAGAATGTGAAAGTATAGGTCTTTTCCCTCCTATTAGGATCGCGGTGATGGCTATCTTTCGAATCTATTGGTCACGACCAAATATAATTTTCTTACTTGTCTATAACCTAAGAGGTTTTAAGAGGTTTTCGAGCACGAAATAGAAATGTGAATATGTAATGAATATTCTAAAGTCGCATCGAAAAACATTGTCTATTGAAGGAAGAGAACAAATGATGATTTTTTGCTGCTTACTCGAGCATCTATTAACAATTTTAGCAAATTTTCAGAATTAATTTGACGAGAGTAACGAGAAAAGGGCCGAGAAGAAGCTTATGCGTTTAGATAAAGTTTTGAGTTTATAAACGTGAAACAGTCCGAAAGACGAGCATTGTTAAATTCATAAGGCGTTTCTCAATTATCCAGGATTAAGTGTTCCATTCTACTATATGTATATGTCCTGCAAAATAAATGGGAAGCTTGAAGCAGAGACAAACCGCATTCAGTTGAAACCTACGAAAGTTGTATCTTACGAAAGTGCATGGCCTTGCGAACGTACACTTGTAACAACTAAAAACACTATAGTGGGACACGGACCATCATTAAATTTGCTACAAGATTCCACAATTATTCATATAATGGATTTTCAAAATAAAGCGTTATATAGGAAGTCGGGTCGGAAAAGTCGTCTAAACGGAATCATTTTCGATAGCGTTCACGATTTGCGATAAAATTATCTCGAAAATTGCGGCGTATAGATTGAATAGAAGACAACAAGACCGACAGATGGACAGACGGACAGATAAGCTTAGATCGATGTAAAAAATGACTCTGAATATTGGGTCTATCTTATATCGTTGTGGATGTTGCGTAATTACACCTTTACATCACAAGTTATGTAGGGTACAAAAATTATATATGTATCTATATTAAATTTTTCTTTTTGTTTTTGTTTCTAATTAAAATTAAACTTTTCAACATTTACCAGTTATTATAACGGCATCGAGATGGGATATATAACTTTTTGCTAAGCGTAAAATTTCAATTTTTGATAATTTACGATCGTGGGGCTCCGTCGGTATTAAGGTACGCAATGTATTAAAAGCAGCATTCACGCTAAACGAAAAATAAAATAAAGCGAATTGTTATGCCTAGCACCAATACATATGAATATATGAATTATATATAGATGTAATATATATATTATATAATATATATATATATATATATATATATATATATAACTTACCTTTGGGTACGACAGCGTTCCCGAGCGTTCACTGCCTGTCTTGGCTTGGCTGGACTATTCGATGAATCCGATTCCGATTGACTGATCCGACTATTTAAATTCGTATCTAATTGTTGGTAATTTGTATAATAATCCATATTGTGTATTAATATTATTAATTAACGTTAATTAATGGAATTTTATTTTAAAATTTAAATGAGTAAATATTTTAAATGCTGCCTTGCCTTCCTATAACCATTAGGCTTTCTCCCACAAGACTAAATTGATTATATACATCTTTTAAACACTTATAGAGATATATTGTGAAAGATCTCATTTTTTTTTTTTAAACTAGAGCATAGCAATATGAGATATTGCGTATGTATATATATATATATATATATATATATATAATTAAAACAATACATACATACATACATATATACATGCACCTACGTATATGTAAACATACACGGAATATAGGTTCACCAATCAAAGAGAGGATTGGGCCAACGATTAGGTCGCATCACTACCATATTACACACAGCTACATATATTTTTTGTGTTTTTTTTTCTTCCAAAAAAGCAAAGGCAAAACAAAACAAAACAAAACAAAATATTTTCTGTTCATCAGCAACGGAGATAGGAGATAGGAGATTTGTGGTTTTGTTTTCTTTTCCTTTTCCCGTCTGCCTTAATGCCATCACGATACAGCGTATGTTAGAGTTTTCGTTGTGTTTACTAAATGTGTAAAATGAATTAAATCATTAATGACGACGACAAATTGCCCATAAATACTTTATGAAATGAACAAGTATCATTATTATTATTATTATTATTATTATTGTTATTATCACATATGATCATTTAAGTGAAATGCGGTCGTCACACATGGACGCAAGTGGTTATTAAATGTTTTCATGTCATCTTTTATATTTTCATCTTTGTTTGGTTTTGCTGAAAACTCAAAGCGAGCTTCAAATTCAATGTGGTCAGTGTTAATATACACGCGCAACTGAGTATTAGAGAAGGATTCCCCTTACATTCTGTAAGAGTGAGTGTATTAAAAAAAACACAGTCTTATTTATACTAAGAACACTTATTTATAGTTAATGCGCGCAGGAATAAACGGTTTCGATAGTTTTCTCTTCATTTCATCGAATAAAATAAAAAACTCTTAGCTTAGATTTACGCTTAATCGTATAATCTACATCGGATACATCGGTATCTTGGGTTACACTGGGTATATATATATATATATATTTTTTTTTTTTCTTTGGAAAATCATGAAAACTGAAATGTGTTATAGAATTGGAATATGGAAAATAAAAGAATAAAATTGTATTCTAGAACATACAGATAAAGGTAACTACATATTTCGTAACCGTGTAAAAGTGAATAAATTCTTGATTGAATTTGATTTAAAGATATTTTAATCGAGAGCTTCCTTATATACCACATTTTTAAAGCATGTCGACCCATTTGTCTATCTTGCTTTCTTGTGTCCAACTCATAGGCCACAATTTTTAAGATATTTTGATAAAATTTGGTCAGAAAGTGATTCTCGATCAATCTATGCTGCAAGTTTTGAGATGCGTTCATGAAATTTGGTACACTCTGTACACGTGTTTTGGTCCAAGGACAAACGCTATCTAAAATGTTTCAGTGTTCAAAACGTTGTATGAACAATTTCATTAAACGAATTGTTCGGTAGGGCATTTAAGGGCGGATTGTGACCCACTATTAGGTTTTAACTTGTTTTATTTCGACTCTGAAAATAAGAGACTTTGCCACAAATTTTATAATTTCATCTCAATCTTATACTATTAACTAGAATTCAGTCTTTCACAATATCACGATTTTTCTTCACTGTATATGTATTTATCCGAACGAGTTACTAATACGAAATTCGATAAGTGTCCGTATTCGTTCGCTAATTGCTTAATGCATTGCCTAACTTGTTAGTCGTAATTGGAAAAAGTCCGATTGTCACTGTCTAACACTGTTTAAAAGAAATCGAATATCGTGTAAATCGAGAGACGATGTATTTTGAAAAATCAAAATTTTCGCCATAGAAGCAACCCACTGTCCCACTTTATTTTCGCATTGCTCTCACAACTTTAGATTCAATCATCCTCTAAATAGGTTCAATAAATTCATCCCGAGATCTAATATGTTGCTTTTTTTTTCTTTCTTCAATTTACGCCTTTAAATGAACTTGAACGCTTAACTGTTATATTGAATTTTTGCTGGAAAATGAATCAAGTATGTCGGTTTAGAATTGATTGAGTTAATATGTTTGTACCCTACATCGCTTGTGGTGCAGGGTACATTAAGTTTGTGCGAACGTATTTAACGCCCAGAAGAGTTTTATCTTAATATAGATCCATTCTTTACTATACACGAAAATGATTTTGAATCAATCTAAGCCCGCAAGCAGCGAACGTTACTGAAAATCGATCCAGATTTTCGATCATTTGCCATAAAACAATCTATCTTGAAAAGACTTTATATGGGAAAATATTGTCATCTTCAAAATTTCTCGAAAAAGTGCGCTCGAGTATAGTATTTGGACATTTTAACTAGGTTTGAAGAATTTGGCCCGGATGAGGTAATTTTTTGATTTTTCTCTCATATAACCGTTTCTACGGAAACTGATATAGTAACAAGCCATAATTTGTAATATTTTAGGGTGAAACTTAGTTCATAATAGTAAATTGATAAACGTATATACCTTACGGAGTTTGGACCACGTCTAGGTTTATTTTTTGTATAAATATGTCTTCGCATGAAAATTATGTGTGAATTTCTACGGTAAAACGAGTGAATAATAACTGTATTAGGCAAAGTGATGTAGATCATCTATTGATCGACCTTGCCCGTATATAATGCTCTTACTTGTTTTCTTTTTTGTTCAGAGAGCGACTCTCTGTTATAGCAGAGAGTACATATTTCTTATGAAAGTTTTCACTGTTTTACGGTTAGATGCTCTTATAGTTGAAGGAGTGTAATATTACTTACTATTACGAGCGGGAAAACTGAGACAACTGAGACCGTTGGCGCTTTATTTAATTAATCTCTTAGATACACTTTTAAGATAAATTAATTACAATTTCTTTTCGCACAATTAAATAAAGAACAATTTAACTGTCTATGAATCGAATGGATTATGATTTTGTTTACACGCATTTAAAAAATTACAAATAAATATATTATTTAGTACGATGGCAATATGTCCACATATCTTGAACTGCCTTAAAAGTCCATCATTCGGTATTTTTAAGTTTTCAAGAATTAACGCCAATGTGTGATTCCTGTCATTGACGCGTATGCTTATCATCGAGAAATGGTAATATTTTATAATACGACGACGACGACGACGACGACGACGAGTATACTCGTATACTTACCTTTACGTTGCACAATTTAAGCGTGTATTTTTCAAAGGCTTTGCGATATTGAACTGATTGAATGACAAAGCTTTTAACAAACATTATTAAGAAACATTTTTAAAACCATTGTCATCGTCTTATTATCGTTCATCAAACATGCGATTGCTCACTAGTGAAAAATGAACGCATTCGCACTATATTATTAACGGGAGACTCTTTCTTGAAAGCTTAGAAAAATGTTCCGATATTTTGCTTCTTTTATTATTCTTTGCCTGTGCTTTGGCATTTAAATTAATTAAGCTATTAAATGTGATAAACGATCGGACGATCGGAAATGCTATATAAATTGTCAGATTCCCGCCTTCAGTTTTGGTAAAATGTAACAAAACGAACTTACAGCCGCCTTCTGGTCGTTGTAATCGTCTCAATAAGTGGTCAATGAGAAATGAAAAGAGTGAAGAGTGAAGAGTGAAGAGTAAATTTCGTCTGTATGCGAGAGTTTCAGCGATAATACGAATTCGGCGATTGAAGCGAGAGATTACAACGATGATAATTTTCAGCGATGATTCTTCATTCGGTTATTTCAATTAAGGCGGCCCATCCGATGGTCAACTTTGAAGCACTTTAAACAAATTGAATGTGTATACCCGGTCAACCAATTGTGAATCAGTTTCTTAAACGATGTAACGGCTACAGCTCGCCATTGTATGCTGTACCGCAATTGATTTAATTAAGTTATTCATACAACGAGTCTCCAAAATACGGCACTATATCGGAAGCGTTTGAAAAAGTGGGCCGTCCGATCCCAACCACTTTCAATAGCATTTGTGCTTGGGCCAAGTAGAGGTGAGCGTACATTAAAACATTTCATGAATGACGGCTGGTAGGGTAGGAATACAAAAATTGCTAGACAGATAGATTGACGTACAGACAAGCAAGCAGACAAGATTAGATCGATTGAGAGAGTGATTCCGAATCGATCGGTATAGTAAAGTGTGGACCCAACTCAAGTTCTTTTGGATTTTGAATACATCCGTATAAACCTTGTAAGCTAAATGGTATACGATATGAAATAAAAATTAGATTTACATTATTTGTGTAAGAAAAACTTTGTGGTCGAAAGGATTATCACTATTCCTTTTACTTGAGAAGCAAAAAAGCGGACAATATTTTCTTTATCATTAAATTCTAGCAAGTGATACCTTACCTTTTGTTGATATTTTTAATTTTCTTTTACTTATAAATGGCTAAGCAAATGATGTACGGCCTATAGTCTACTGCTAGATTAATTAGCCTTCTAACAATTTTTTCGATCCGTAAAGTGGTTCGGGTGCGGAAAGAATGCTCGTTCTTTTTCGTATATATGAATCGTGCAAATACCCTGCGCTTGATCATATACCCGAAAATTGGAACAAGTAAGAATATTGTGTTTGGTTCTGGCCGAGTTCTCTATCTATACCTTTTATCTTAAAAAAAAAAAGAAGAAAAGCTCGAACACAATGAAATTTCGTTGCTCTATAATATTGGCTGGGCGTAAAAAGAGTTTTTCCACTTTTGTGCAAGTAGTAGGTAAGATAAGATTGTATTATTCTAGTTTAGGAGTAATGAGTAAATGCCTATTTTTGCGCTTTTGAAAGCAGAGCTCTTTCTAGCTTATGCAACACTGTGGATGCGTTCGTCGATCAATTTAGACCGCTTTTCCTACGTTCGATAATTTCCAACGTTTTTAACAAACTTAAAGCCTGTACTTTACTGTTTACGACCGCACAGATAAGCGAACGGACAGACGGCCGTATTTA